ATAGGCTATCAGTAGAGTTCAACCATGATTTGTTAACTACATAGCTACATACATATGTACATACAACTGTAAATACATGTAAGAGTAATTTAATGTACATATGTATGTACATTAGGGTGGCTCAAAAACAGCAAAGTCGGAATTGTAATGCTCTCACCCCTAGGATTGTTCTATATCGAAAAAAGTATACCCCTATTTTTTATTTTGAAACCAAAAGATATTTAGAGGTCGCTCTAAGCGCTAAAGGTTTTCCATGTATTTTTATATGGGAAAAATCAATTTTTTCGTAGAAAGGGTATAGAAATCTTGAAAGTCAATATTTGTGGCCGGAAAACTCTGGTTCCCTTCAGGAGACTTTCAATAATAACACTCAATTGTTTATTTAACCATTTTTTTAATACTAACGATTTTTTATTGGTCGCCCCATTGCATTTTTCGGGATTTTTGTTGGTTTTTGGCTGACCTATAAACTATAGTTGCAATGAAAAAATGGTTAAATAAACAATGTGGTATTATTATTGGGAATCTCCTGCAGATAAGAAAAATATTAATTTTTAACTATTCTATACCATTTCTACGAAAAGTTGTTTTTGCCCATGTAAAATACGTGGCAAACTTTGGGCGCTTCGAGCGACCTCTAAATATTTTTTGATTTCAAAATAAAAAAATTTGGGTATATTTTTTCGGTATGGAACAATCCTAGGCTGTGAGAGCATAAAAAATCCGATTTTACTTTTTCACATGCATTTTTGGACCACCCTAATGTACATATGTCCAGGTGCAACTGATTACTTGTATTTCGGTAAACATAAATCCATACATATATTTTAATCTGCATGTGTCTGCAGTTTTGATTTTATAAAATACATACATACATACATACATACAATGTATGAACGTTAGTGCAAAAATTCAAATGGACCTGCAAGATGTTGGTTAATGTTCAGTTATTTATAAACTGCGTAACGTGCATATAAACTACCATTATTATAAAGTACATTGAAACAATTAAAATTATTTATTGAAATACCAGTTTTGCAATGACTTAAACCTAAACATGTACATATGTATGTATGTATGTGTATATATCTAAACACGATCGCGTTAAACTCATTACTATTGCAAAAATCTAGTAGGTAATTATGGTTTTTTTTTTATTATAAAAACATTTAGCAGAGTATTATTAGAGTATAACCTGTATTCCGACATTTGTCAATTAAAATTTAAGTAAATAACTTACTTATGTACATATGTGAGTATAAAACGTAAATATTTATTTACATACATATATGTATATGTGTCAATTTAAACTGTAATGCACAATTTAATATGCCAGTTAACGATGTCTAATAGTAACAGTTTAATAGAATTAAAAGCTGGTATATGCGTTATGTATGTATGCACGTTGTGGTGGACATCGCCAGTTGATAATGACAGTTAAACTTTGGCCTTGACTTGTACAAAGATAATTTGAAAGTCATTTAAATGCAAATTTTTCGCGTGTTATTACAGTGGTTACGTATAGGGTAACCACCTTTTCCGATGCCCATACCCCGAGATTGAAAAATGGCATCAAAAAGCTGATTTGCCTCAACACATATTTCTTTCGAGCATTTATACCTTTGTCGTTATGGCGCACTCACTGAAACCGTATTCAAAAGTAAACAAAATTTATTATTTTTATTCGATATTTCTTAAATTATTTATTTGCGCGGTGTAGCGAAATGGAAGCGAACAAGAATTCAAATTTGTTATAATAATAATTCAAATTTAAAACGGGCTGTATAAAGAAAACCAGCCTTTTTTTCACTTCGCATCAAATGAGTGATGTGTTTATATCAGTTTCCTAACCGATGTGAGAAATAAAAAAGCGATTTGAAAACAAATTCGAGTCAATACACTTTCGAATTTCTGAGCGTATTGAAAGTTGGTTTATGCTTGCGTTTTGAATCACAACGAACTGGGTGAAAGCGCTTTATGTGTTGGTATAAACAAGGTAATTTATTAAAATATGGATTTTCACAAAAAAGGGACTTGCAACTTTTCAATCAAAGCTAGCGATATGTACGTTTCTTTGGAATAAAAATGTAATTTTTCTATGAAAAAAACGTATAAATACTTAAAATTTTTTCCAAACCCTGAGATTTTAATGGCAAACCCTGAGCACCGAGATTCGATCGGAAGCCCCTGAATCTCAAGGCGAAAAATCCAATCTGGCAACTCTAGTTACGTATTTTTTTTGTAACTTTGTCGAAGCAAAAGTTCAGGTTACTACAAATTAACACGAATTTATATAAGGTGGTGTTACTAGATCAGCTGATTTTGTGTGTGTGTTTCGCCACAAGGCTTCTAATGTCAAATGTAAAAATTTCGTTTGAATTTCCAAACACACTCTTACAGATTTTGACAGTTTATGACGCCAAAGAAAAAACAAAATACACGTAAATTTTTGTTTTTGTACTCCTGCTATTACTTTATATAAATCGTATAATCTCTGTTTAACTGTGTTACAAAGAATACCAGATAAATTTAAAAATTAAATTTGATAAAAAAAAACACTTTATACACATGTTTGTACATTTAAAGTTGCTCTTAAATATGCGCTTAAACAGGTAAAAAATCAATTTGGTTTTATAATCAAATAAAATAAAATAAATTTTTTTCGTATTAATTAATAATTAATAATAATTTTGTTCTTGAATTTTGTTTCTTTTGAGGAGGGTATGCGATATGTATGTATGTATGTACGTATATTAAACATATGGATATACCATTTTGCAAGTTTTTGTAGCACATATGGTGTATGTATGTGTAACACATATAGTGTATAAATATGTATATACACAAATATGTATATACATAAGTTGTTATATGTAACCAGTTAATTTTATCCTATATAATAGACTTTGGCGGTTATCCCTGTGATTTTTGGACAGCTATTAAATCTGCGATTAAGCTTAATGAAAGAAAATAATCAACACTTGATTACGAAATTGATATGTACGTATGGTTAACAGTGCGCGCTACCGTTCCGCAGGGCCTGAATTTGCGCTCAGTCTCCGACCAACATCAAAAAATAGAGACAAAATAAAAAAAATTGTCTAATAACGGTCGCTCCTCGGAAGGCAATGGCAAACCTCCGAGTCTATTTCAGCCATGAAAAACAGCTTCTCATAAGAATTCAATCGCCGCTCGAAGTCGGCGTAAAACTATAGGTACCTCCCCTTTGTGTGACAGTTTCAAGCGCACGCCACAAATTGGAGGAGAAGCTCGGCCAAACACTGACATATTGTGTAAGCGGCAATCTAACTGTTATTATTATTATGTACATTGTACATACTTACATCAATCGCAAAGAAAAATCATAATATGTAACAACAAAACTTCAAATCATGCAATAGTCAACAATATTCATACAGTACGCGCACCATCTTGCGCGCAATACGTTGTTGCATGTAGACCAAGTAATTTTGCAATAGGTATAGGCCCCTACATACCCACATCGTGCACATAGGGAAGTATGTATGTACATATGTACATATTTTTCTACGAATATTGTGGTTCAGCAGATACCAGTTTTTCTTGTACCACTTGATAAGCGTAGGAAAAGTAAAATGAAGCAAAATTATCTTTAGGATACGTCCCAATAAACAAAATACTTTTGGGCAAGCTTACGAAAAACTTACCTCAGTAAGCCCGATGTTTGAAAAATATTTAATCCAAATACTTTAACTCATTTACTTACAATTGTAGATTGAACAAATCACTTATTTATGAATTGAGATTTTAGTTCGGAAAAAAATTTTTAATAAACGTTTTTATGCAATTTATAGTAAAGGTAGTTGAAAAATGATTGAACAATTTCGTTATAGGCAGCGTCGATGATGGATGTGGAGTAGCCGAATGCGCACGTGTTAGCCTAGCCATCCGAAGGTAGCAGGTTCGAGTCCCGAAAATTATTCTTTTTTTTTTTTTTAAAAAAAATATTTTTTGTATCTAAATGTATTTCCATATTTCTCACTCATGGCAATTAATTTATTTAAAAATTTAATAAACAATAAAAAAGAAACTACATACTACCCGAAAAAATGTCTGATAAAAAGTTGTTGATGGACATATTTTGAAGTTGGATTACTTTTTGTGGAATTTGTGCAAGCTTTCAAACTTTTATTTATATATGAGGCCATGAGGGCTAGAGGAGCCTATCTACAAAAAAAATTTTTAGTAATATGAAAAATAAATGCGGTCTTTACTAAAAAGATCATTGCACCTACGCGATGCTACATATTTTATTAAAATAATAGTAAAAGGGCGTGCCTCGGGCTATTGCCGTTTCTATTCCAGTAATCTATTTTATGGTGCACCTCAACTGTCAGTTAGGCTACTCTGGCCCTCATGGCGTCATATGTACTTATGTTGTTTCTGTTATACATATGTAGATTGAATTATATTTTAAATGAAAATTATTGAAAATAAATAAATAAACATAAGTTGCAAACAATATAATTTTGAATTTTGACCCTATATACTATATCGTTGTCATGATTGCTAAAGGCTTCGATTGACAAAATTTAATTCTTAAAGTAAAGCAAAAAGCATAAATAATACATAAGAAAATACTTTGACCGCATTTCTCAGCATGTTGTTACATATTAAAGAAATTTGTTTACATTTTCTTTAAACTCTGTGATGGCTGTGCAAAGTGAGGGCATATTAATATGGCTAAAATAATTTGATTTTAGGTTTACTACGCCGCACCATAAGGCTGAATATTCCACATTGAGTGCATAATAATAAATAAATACATACATACACTTATTATTTCGGGCTATTTTACTTGTTTTAAGCCATTAGTTTATTAGTTTCGCTTATGCTTAGATAAGCTTGGTCTGACGATAGTTTAAATAGGTCGATTAATGAACTTTGTTATTCATCAAGTACAAATGTATTAACTTAACGCTCAATAACTCATTGAAAGTAAAAATTTCGTTAAGACTCACCTGAAATTCACGTCTTTTGTTTTTCCACTGGCGAACGCGGTGCGACATCTTTGCACAATCTTTATTTGATATGTTCATTTCCAGGTAGTTTTGTTTAGTTCATACATTGGGTGTGTGTATTTTTTTTTTAATGTCACAAAGAAATATGCAAATGAAATACAAAATTATAATTTTATTAAATTCATATTCTTTTACACGTATTAACATTAACATATATGTAAATATGTACGCTATCGCAGAATATATAAAAAACAAAATTGCAAATCACTCACATCTTCGAAATTTGCCATTTTGTTGAACCGTTCGTTATCGGCAACGATTGCGTTATCTGCAAAAAATAAGGACAAATTGAAGTAACTTTTGTTTGATCTACTGTAGTAACAAAGAAACTTTCTTTATCGTTTGTCTACAGTACGACTGTTAATGCCGCAAACTGTCATTACATATACATATGAATGCATGTATGTATATACATATACTATGTATCTTTGTATGCATGCACATAAATACATTCATATTTACTCTCTGTATATTGAATTGCCAATAACACAATCTATCCACCTTTTTTAGTTATAAGATTTCGTTGCTCTTAATTATACAAAATGGTCAAAGAGTTAACGTAATCGGAAGGAACTGGCGGACCGTAATCAGTTTATAAACTGGAAAAAAACAACACAGTGATGGAATACTTTAATATACAAGCGAATCACCGTTCACGATTTGCACTACCGCACACGAGAAGTAGAAAAAAACAAATGATAAGTAACTAGTCCAATTGGAAATGCAGCTCGCCACTGCTACTCGTTCAACAAGCAAACAGCTGTTGGCCGTAGTGTTGCCGTATGCAGTAAACAGGAAATAAAAATGTAATTACGAGTAAAAAAAACACGGTTGAAATTTCTCAAGCGGTGGTAGCATTGGATTTTTACCTTGCGAATTGTTTCCTGTGTTCGTAGAAAAGGAAGGAAACATAAATAAATGTGTGAATTTTTTAGATGTTTTGTTATCTTATAAGAAATTTTATCGCTTTTCTGTTACATAGTCTAGACGCGTATTGAAATCGCACATTTACAGATGGAAATATATATCGTGTAAGAACACTTTAAAGAAAATAAACTTTTGTTTATGTTTTTTTTTACTGTAAAAGGCAAAACGGAAACCCGCTTATATACAGATTTCAAAGGCGCCTAAACGATATTGGTCGATTCAAACACTTAGTCAATTTTCTTCATCGAACAAGTTGCTGTGTAATGGAATTCCAGGTGAAGTTTAATCCTTTTTATCCTTGTGTTCGCGTTTACATACTTATATTATGCCGTCTGGTCATTCTCGCCGAACAAAAAATACTAAAATGAACTTAGAAACACAGGGCTTGGGTGATACTTTTATTTCATTTAATTTATTGAGTCCTTACAGACTAGATTCACAAGTTTGACTTAACTAAACATTTATGACTAAGAATATAAAGATTAAATTATTTAGCCGAAACGAGATCTCGGGAGTGCAAAATCTAAATCAAGGCTACTAAATATGCGATTGAATTCAATGAGGGCTCTAGCAAACGGGTACTGAAAGCTTAGTGTTCGTTGCGGAGCATTGAAGCTTATCAGCTCAAGTAGCTCTGGGCAATCAATGAGACCAGCAATGATATCATAAACAAACATCAGCAAATTACTGGATATTCTCGATTCAAGTGACTTCATCCCTATTAGCATACAGTAAGCACTATAGGGTGGCAAAGGAGCCGTGAAATTAATTGGTTTGAGGGCAAAACGAATAAATCTACCCTGCACTCCTTCATTTCTATTAGAATAAGTTGAATAAATCGGATTCCTGATTAAAGAAGCATATTCCAATTTAGAACGTACTAAAGAATTAAATAAAATATTTCGGGTATAATAAAAATCCTCGGGATCTTTAAAGTCCCTTCCATAGCGTCGAAGAAAGGCTAGATTAGAGTAGGCTTCAGGGATAATATGGTTAATGTAATTCATAAAGGTCAAACAGCACTCCAAGATCCAAAAACAGTAGAAAGGCTTGCATAAAAAGGAGAATATGTTGACCTAATGAAGTTTAGATTTTTAGAAATAGTCATGTGAAAACATTTCTTAATATAGAGAGGTAATTTATTTCTTGTACTCCAAATAGCCAAGTTATAAGATCGTCTTGTAAAGACAGAACATCTGACTGACAAACAAGTAATGATTCTAAAATTTTTAAGTCGTCCGCGTAGAGTAAAAACTTTGAGTGCTTTAAACGATTTCCAATGTCATTAATAAAAAGAAGAAAAAGAATTGGGACAATAATACTACCCTGTGGTACCCCAGAAGTGGCGATAAAAGCGTAAGACTTAGTATTTTCAATTTCAACATGGGAGATTCTGTTGAAAAGATACGAACTAACCCAGCATAAAAATGCTGAGGGGAACCCAAACCGTTCCAGCTTATGTAGTAAGATACTGTGCGTAACAGTATCGAAGACCTTCGAGAAATCTGTGTAAATTACATCGACTTGAGATCCACTCTTGAGCGATGAGATACAAAACTGAAAAAATGAAGCAAGATTCATGACTGTCGAACGACCACAGACAAAACCATGTTGATGCGGGTCAATTATTTCTTAGCCTTATCTATAGATATTTCACGTTACGGCTGAGCTCCTTCAACTGTTTCATTTTTTGTGAAAATTGCCGCGGCCATTATTTTCTGGGATAATTAAAAAAAAAAACAGACATGTACAACCTGTTTTAGTGTTTATTCCACCTGATAATGTTGCTCGATTTATAAATTTAATAAGCTGAACTTTATTTAAGTTGATTTGTTTTTTGTTCTACTGTCGTCGCACATAAGGACAAAGTGACTAATTACGACGACAAAAATAGAAGAACAGAAGTCTTTAAATCTTAACACACATACCTTTTTAATACTCCTTATAAACCAGTCCGCAATGTAACACACAAATTTTGACTTTTGACGCACCGCAGAAGCGTAAAGTTGGGTTTTCTATCGTGCATGGAATTAAATAATTTTTTGTTTAAAGCGATGATAAAATAGTTTCGCTTGTCATTTCATTCTTATTAACAACTAATTGTTTGGTCAAGGTGAGGTGAGTACTTTATTTTGCATTTTTTGTAAAATGGGTATAGTACCTATTTTATAAATTGCCTTTGTTTTATTGAACAAATTTGAAATTTTTATTAGTTAGATAGAGTTATAAAAAAAGTTCCAAAGAGTACAGGAATTTCTCTTCAACCCTTCATTAAATAGAGCCTTCATTAAATAGAGCATTTTTTTCTTGGGTCGTTTATTGGGACGAATCGAGAATATAGGAGGACAAAAAAGTTTACTCCATATGTATTTGACAGATTTCAATGAAATTTGCTATCCAGGGGATTTCGTTGTCAATGTCTCCGAAATTGGTATCAAATTTTCAAAATTCAAAATGGCGGATACAATATAGGGGACCCCTTTTTTAAATTATAGTTTGTTATGAAACTTGGTATTTAGAGATCCTCGTTATCTTTGATTACGAAATTGAAACGCCTATTGTTCGGGACGCCATATTCGATCCGCCATTTTGAATTTTTGAAAATAAAATATCAATTTCGAAATTAGTGACGACGAAAAGCTCTGGATACCAAGCTTCATAACAATCTATACATTTTTTAATAAATCGTCCGCCATATTGGATCCGCCATTTTGAGTTTTGGACATTTAATTTAATATCCGAATTCACTGACGACGAAAATCCTTAATTACCAAATTTCTTTGAAATCTATCAAATACATATCAAATACACATGGAGTAAATACCAAGCTTCATAAAAATTTATAAATTTTTGAAGAAATCGTCCGCCATATTGGATCCGCCATTGTGAATTGTGGAAATTTAGTTTAATATTCGATATCAGTGATAATGAAAATCCCTCAATACCAAGTTTCATTGAAGTCTGTCATATACATATGGAGTAAACATTTTTGTAGTCGATTTATTTTGGAACGAATTTTTGTAGTCCCTATGTGCGCCGCTGTCAAAAGTCCCGTATGAAATGGCCTTTTAATTTAAATTATTATATCTTGGAAAAAGTATGTACATACAAATGTATGAATGCATTTATTCAGCAAACAAGGAGGATTCGAAATTATTGGATATTTCCAGATAGGTTCGCTGCCACTTTTAAGCAGTTAACATGAAGTGTTTTTAAAGTTTCGGGTGGCAGATGATTAAAAATATTATTAAGATAAATGAACCTATGAATGATAAAACTAACGTTGTAGGTTGAAAGGGGAAAAAAAGGATTATAAAGTCAGCGGACTATTTGTGTTTATTTAACTCTGCAAGATGTCAGCTTTTTAAATTTTTCGCACTCTCTCTGTCGCAAAATGAAGAATAAAATAAAATACATTTATGTAAATAATAAATAAATAATTAAAAGATAAACCTGTGGTACAAAAGCTATTTCAAAAAAAGTTTACCTCCTTGCCTCAAAATATTTTAAAGGAATAATTTTAACATTAATAACACTGATAAACAGTGGCTTTGTTAAACAAAGTTAAGTTGTTTTTTAGAAACTAATACCTAAATAGTCCCATATAAACCTCATACTTAGTTTTATTCAATTACCCTCAGTTTTCCTTAAAAATTGACTGAAGTGATTACGCGTATTTTTTTACCAAAATGTGGTTCTGATAAATTAACGTTAAATTATTATTGACATTAAAACGGTATTTTTAGTGATTGTTGTTTCTACACATCCTAAGAAGATCCCCAGAGTCTAACTAACTGTTAAAAGTCAATATCGTAGTAAAAAAAAAAACAGAATAAAAAGAAATACCCAAAAATCAGCGATGCCAAATTAAAAGAGGGAAATTTGTAGGGCCACTAATTGGATACCTATTGGCTGACGAACAGTTTGAAGAAAAACTTAATCCGATCGAAAAATCTGCAAGGGCATGTTTTCGAAATATTATTCGTAATTTTGTTGGAAACCACAAAGCCGAAAACTATGAAGAGTTGGTCAGCAACCTTTTAACAGCCTACAAGAATGTGGGATGCAATATGTCGCTCAAGATAAACTTCTTAAACTCTCATTTAAATTTGTTCTTGGTGATTTGCCAAGAATCCCGGGATGTTCGGGAACTAAAAAAGGCTCGAAATCAGTACGCAAAATCTATTTATTTTTTGAGTTTGTACTGATTTTTACATTTACGGGAATGTCCGGGATCCCGGGATTAACATTCCTAGTATGTACATATTGCAAAATGTGAAGTACCTCTAGAAAAGGACTATTATGATGAGTTGAATTCAAGCAGTTGTTATTTTGCGAAATGCTAGGATACGAAACAATTGCAAGGCGACATCTTTTGATAAATTCATTTCAATCTGCTCACACGTATGAATTGTCAAAAACCATAGTTTTGAACATGTCAACCTCAAGTAAATGTCAATTATACCAATTCACAAAAATATTTATTAACTGTAAAAATCAGTACAAAATCAGTACAAATTCAAAAAATCAGTAGATTTTGCGTACTAATTTCGGGTTCTTAAAAATCAGCACATGTACTGATTGAATCAGCGCATCTGGGCACCCTATTCGAATGGTATTACAATTTTTCCTTAGTACACTTATGTATGTAGTTCAAATCAAATAATTAATTATAAATTAATAAATTTTCCTAAATAGTAATAAGTAATTAAGTCATGACATAACTTCCATGAGATTTTCGTGGAAATCTTCTGGAAGTTATGTCTGATGTTCGCGGAAACTAATTCCATGGGCCCGTGGAAGTTATGTACGTGGAAGTTGTGTCAGTTACTCCCTGATGCCAAATATTCCCTAAAATCCTAAATAAATTACTTTTCTTCATTAAATACAGTTTTTAAGCGTATTTCATTAAATTTAATTTAAATGCTGTTGCAAAAAAACTGAGGATGACTGAGTTATTTTAATAATGTGGATTAGTTACAGGTTTGGTTGTAGATACAAAATAACCCTTTCAAATTCACTTAACTTTTATTAAGGTCATTTTTGTGCGTCAGTGTAGTCAGACATGAGCTTTGATTTTCAATTTACCGCTTTATTCCCACAACATTGACAAAATTCATCATATGACTATTGTCACAATTACTGCGCCTAAAACACAATATAAACATTGTTTCGCCGTTGTCACTTACTCAGTAGGTCATAACAATAAAACTGACAATTGTCATACGACAGCTTAAAATAAATTTGCGGCATAGTATTAGGCGCAGTAGTAAAAGCAATAGTCAGCCGCTGAGTTTTGTCAGTAGTGTGGGAATAGGGCGGTTAGATTAGTTATAATACGATACTCACAATGACTCGACTAAAAATATGTAAGTTATTGTTGCATTTAACACGTTTGTATGATTAACAAGCTATATTTTTTAATAATTCGTACACACATACATACATATGTATATTACGGTGGCTCACCAAAGAAAGTTGCGACAGTGATAATTTTGTAACGACAGGCATTTTCCATGTTGTCAGTGACAATTCGACAGTATGGTGGGTGTTTTGTTTCATAAAAACAATCGTCAGCTCTCTTTAATTCCATGCGAAATTCCATTGAAAAAGTGACAAATTGTCATTGTCGGGGCTGAAAATTGTCGTTAACTAAATTGTCGCCAGTCATATGAAGTTTATATGAAAATCATATGTAATAATTGCATTTGCATTATTTTAGTTCTCAGAAATATTCAAATTATTGAAAAGTAATGAAATGCGCGCAATTACCATTTAAATACATTTACAAAACTCTCCTGTGAAAGCTTTCCGACGGTGCTATTTGGTTTTGTCGCTATTGTTGCGACAATTTTGTCAGAGTGACAATTGTCGACAATATTCCATATTACATATCACTGTCGTTTCCGGAAAATTGGTACAGTTGCCTACAAGTGTATATGAAACAGGAAATTCTCGCACCTGTTACTTTTATGAAATTATGAAATTATGATTAACGCAATAAATAGACCCAATCGGCTGACTTTTTGCCCTTTTTAATTGAGACAAGATATTTTTACTTGCTTTTTTTTGCAAAATTAAATTTTTATGGGCAGTTACATATCGTCGTTATGAATAAAAAACCGCGTTAAAAAGGCCTTAAATGGCCACTATTGGATGAGTGTTTCTAAATTTTTGCTGTACGTACGAACTTCTAAACTCTTCTATGCAGTCGAAAAAATGGAGAACGGTTTCGGGCAGGGCTTTTTAAATAAGACTTCTTTGTAAGCTGTTTGAGATAAGGCAATAATAATAGTTCGCAGAGAGCAAGGCGTACTTACAGCACAGTAAACAGTATCCCATTCACATACCACGATTTTTAAAGCCAATAAATTGTCTGAAATGTTTAGGTTTTTCAAAAAAGCTAAAACAGGAAAACACCCTTTCAATATTCGGTCATTTCATCGGTATTTCGACCTATTTTTTCCCCCAATTTTAAATTTACAATACAAACATTCTTATCTAAAATAACTTTATAATTTTCATTACTCACCAATCTCGATGATTGCGGCGCCATCATTATTGTTGTTAATTCGTTTATTTTCAATAACTATAAAATGATATGACAGTTAGTTTATGTTTGTGTAACAAGTTTATAACATACCGTTATTATTATTATTATTATTAGTATTAGGTATCACTATGGTAGTAGATGACACAAACAACTTGTTGGCGTTGTCTAAGTTTACAACAGCACTCATTTTATAATCAGTGCAGTAGATACAAGTCCGTTTATTGGATCTGAAAATAAAAATGTATATAAGTTTAGATCACAATCTACAAATTACATATATATATATGTATGTATGTATGTATATGCAATTCATCTAAACGCGCAAATGCCTCGTAACCATGTAAACCTCGTAAACTTCCTTAGTTTTGTGTGGAAAATCGGCTTATTTATGAGGCATTTACACGTTCCCATAATAATTTAACGCTTACGCCCTTTGTTAAGTGCTTAAACGTGCTTCCCCTCTACTCCCTAAGTGCAAAAAAAAATCATTATAAAGAGGAGCTACAAGGGGAGTTCGTTCTTACGGAGTCCGACTGTAAACTTAGTACCTCTGGATTCTATAAAAATAATATCTTGAAAAAAAAAACACTTTATAAATAAAATGTATTAAATACATATCTTTTATTAAAAATTAGATGG